TTCAGCTGCACATGAAAGAAAGCATGCTAAAGCGCCCGTCTTTTTGGCACAACAAGGGGCGCCCCTCGGATCCGAAATGTTGCGGTCATGTCCGACTATCAAAGGTGAACCGTCGATCAGCACACAAGTTGCATCACTAAAACCCCTTTCGAGGTTTACCTGCTGATGCATTCAGACATGCCGTCAGTCTCCCAGACAAGCTCATCCTCCAAGGCGTTGCCGATGAGCGTCGCCTGCTCTTGAATCTCCTTTTGCCTTCTCAGGCGTTGCTGCTTTCTCGCACTAACGAACTCCTCATTGAAGCGCACAACCCATGCCTTTCGAGCATGGTACAGAGCCGCAACCTTGTAGGCGTCCGGAGTATTCTTGGTCAGGCAGTCCGCAAGGTTCAGGTCCGAAGGCACCCAAGTAAGATAGCATTTGCCATCCTCACGAAGCCCCTTTTGGATCGAAGAGGCTTCGAGTCCCGTGCGGGTATTGTTCATTCCGAGCAGAGGACTATCCGAAGATGAGATAGCATCAAACAGGCCTCGGGAATCCGTCACGAGCAAGGACTCCATGCTGGCAGCGAGCTGTTTAGCGGTTTAGCGTTGCTCCTCGTCAACTGGTGGCCATTGATCAGTGCCCAGAAGAGCCGACACTTGAAGCCCTTGTCCTCGGCCTCGTACATGGCTTGGCTCTCCGAGCCGTTCGTCCCCTTCACAGGACGGTCCAGTTTGAACGAGCGCCAGTCCATCACACTGGCCTTGCTTTCCTCACCTCTGAGGATCTTCGGGTCCGCAAAGACAGTGATGTAACCGCCCGTCGACCCACCATGTCCCAGGTCAACTTGGTTTCACGCCCGAAGTTGAACGCATGGTAGACGATGTCCTCCTTGGCCGTCTTCCTAAGCTCTCGCATGATGCTGTTGGCCTCCTTCAGGTTAGAGAAGGTAGCCTTGCTAGCCGCCGATGCTGCTACGCCAACTCGAGCAGCATACTGGAAGCCGGTCTGCACTGCCCTCCACTGAGCCTTCATCACTAGGCCACGGTACTGGGAAACCTCCTTGGCCGACAAAGGGTCAGAGTCCGATCTGCTGTGCTCATTGACAATTTCGATGGGACGCAGGGCGTTGCAAAAGTTCTCTTGGGTCACCCTGATCTCGAAGTTCTTAAGCAGTTGAACCTCAAGGCCGGCGAAGGTGAACGATCCAGACTTCCATGGGCTCCACGAGTACATTTTCTTCACCTTTTCCCGGATAGCCATCCATTCAGGATCCTGATGATCGCCACTGATGAGAAAATCATCAACATGGCATCCTATCCGGCCTATGATTCTTCTGTTGTCTCGGCTTTTGAAGATCCATAGACATCGATCAATGTCATGAGGAACTCCGCCAAGGGCTCTCATTTTGGCATCAGCGTCCAGCCAGAAAATCCGTGGGGCATTCGTGAGGCCGTACACTGCACCGACTACCTCCAGAAGTGTTCCCGGTGTCACTCCTAAGGCCAGGGCAAGTTCAGGGACGCCTCGAGTGAACAGCGGCTCTGTTCCAATTCCTTGGTCAGCTTGCAAGAACGCCGACTTGGCATCTGCACACTCTAGGGTGTGATGGTCCAAAGCCGATGCCTGGAATAACATACTCCGTCCCAGCCTCGACAAGGTCGGTGATGCCGTCATAAGCTTTGGCTGCCCCGTGCGTTCGTCCCTCTGAGCCAGATCTGGATGCTTGTAGCCAATGAGAACAATGCGTGCCTTGGCTTTGTTCTTGCCCATCGGCGGCGCTGACCTCATGCTTGGCATTCGGCTGAGGTGGTTCTCCGTCTGGAACCGGTTTCCATGTGAGGATCCACCGCATCGGAATGACGCGGCCCTTGACGTCCTCCTCGGACAGTCCTTCTGAGGCGGCCTTCACGGCCATGGGGCGAAGCACTTCCGAGATCTCTCTCGCCATGGCCTCCTCCATCCTGGCACGGTCCTTGTGGTTAAGCTTCCGGTAGTTTACCTCCTTGGCCGCCGTAGAACTCTGCAGGCGCGCTTTTGAGTACGTGGTGCTGGAAGCTACGAAAGCAGACAAGTCGTCCACGTCAAACTCGAGGACCATGGCCTCCTCGTTGTTGTCGCATGCCCTCTTGACCGCCTTCAAGAGCTGTCTCTCCTCCGTCCGCACGCGATGCAGTTCCAGGCGAAGTTGGTTCAGGGACATGTTCTCGTCGGTGTCGTGCTCGAGCTGGTGGATCGACGCGCTTCTTGACCAAGAGATACGTCTGCTCATCGATCTCCCGAGCCGCATCCTCGTCAACAAGGTTATAGACTTCAGGGCCCTCATGCTCCTTGGTCTCTGGCTTCTCTACTACAAAAGCCCCAGTGGTTGCCATCTGCGCGGGTTCTGTTGTAGTAGCCGGAGTGGCTGGCGATGAATCTAACATCATCGTCTCCTGTGCCGGTGTCTCCCTCGCCTGTTGTGTGCCACTTGATCCTGACCCAGTGGTTGCCATCTGCGGGGGTTCTGTTGTAGTAGTAGCCGGATTGGCTGTCGTCCTCGAGCCCCGCGATGTGCCTCTCCGTTTGGATCCCGCTGACGGCTCCGGTGGCTCCATCAGCTCCTTTCTCTTTGGGGCAAGCACGTCCACCCCGATCTTGATTTCCAGAATGGTGCTGCCCTTCCATCTACTTCTGTGTTTCCGGTCAGGATCTCGCGAGGCCTTGAAGTCGTCGACGAAGCTTCCTTGGTCGCCTCCCGGGCTGACCCATATCGTGGTGCGCTTGCCGGTGAGCTGGTCCAGGGGAACTGGGCATGTCGGCACAGACGTGGGAACAAAAAGCTTGCTCCTCCATTCATGGTGGTGCCGGATAATGACACATCGGTCTGCATCCAACTCCCAACTGTCTGGGATCTCCCTTTTTGCAATCGCCTCCGGCATTCGAAGCTGCTTCGGCAATCCCTCTCTTTGTCTGGCTGCGTTTGCGGAAGAGAGCTGTTGCCAACGTTCCACCTGCTCCTTGACACTTTGCCGCTCACCTCGTCGTTCTGCCGATCTGCTCCTGCTGGGCTGCCTCGCCTGTTGCTGATGCGTGGCCACCCGATGGCCCCAGTCATCGGCAGCATTCTGCAACGTGTTCTCCCAGTCATGGCTCGACTGGGCTTGAGATGAACCACGGTGGGGTTCAGGTGCTCCATCCTCCCAAGGCTGTTCTGGAAGGGAATGTTCCGACACGGGGCCCTCATCCTCGACGAAAGGGTCGCCCTTTAGTGACGTCGGTGAATCGCTTGAGGCTCCGAAGTACGTTCTGCACTGGCTGGGTCACGACCTCGCCCTTCTGCAGAAGCTCGGTGATCACCTCCTGCTCGCTGGCCAGTCTCAGTTGTTCAGGCGCACACCGCCACAGTGAAGTGCCCATCAGCACCCAGACGACCGAGCATCTGCCTTCAGGTAGCACAGGAGGCTCAAGCATTGCCACTCTTCCAGGTCCTATAAAGCGAGGCTCTGGATTGACATGTTCCGAACCTTGCCTCGCCCGGCGAGCTTTCAAAGTAGCATTCCTCCAGACGCATACCCAGTCACCGACCCTGAAGTCCACGACAGGTCGGGGCGAGGCATTCTGCAGGCGAGTCATCGTCTCCATTGCCAGATTTTGTCGGTGCACTTCCTCCGCCTTGGACCGCCACCGCTGCAACTGCCAAAACTCTTCCGGCCTTCCTCCTTGGTTCTTGTTGATCACCAAGGGGTCTCCATGCTCATTCCAAGCCGCCGGGTTGGATCTGTATGCCCATTGGCTGAACCCCTTGACTGAGTCGGTGTTGTTCTGGGCTGCCGCTGCCAGATGGCCACAGGCTCGCGCCGTCACCTCAGGGGCATCATTGCGTATGCGCCGCATGGTTTTCTTGACTGCCTTTATGGCAGACTCGACGCCGCCATTCTGCCAGTGAGCCTCCCCTGGGGTGACCGTGAGGCCGCATCCAATCCAGCCACAGAACTCAGCAAAGTCGCCCTTTGCCAACGACGACTGGGGGTCCGTCATGATCCACTCTGGCTTTGGTCGATGGTGTAGCCATCCTGAAGCAAAGGTTTCGGCAAGGTGCTGGCCGCTGTCCAGGCCAGTCTCGTTCATCGGCCCCTCCCACAGCATCTCGACCATCATCAGCCTCATCACGAGGCAGATCGCCACCAAGTAGCGGGCCTTGCGCCTTTGCTGCGGAAAGACCAGCTCCATGACATCCATTCCGAGCATCTGCCATGGCTGCGGCTTGGTTCCGAGGCTGTGGGGAACGATCAATTGTTCTCCCCGCCTGGTGTCCAGACACGCTTGGCATCGTAGATTCAAAGCCTCGTTCACAATCCGGCGTGGCATACCTCGATCTCGACATATCCGGGCCAAAGCTCGATTTGATGGATGCCCGGCTGCCTTGTGGAGCCTGGTGAGTAAGGCCCTTGCCTGCTGTCGCTTCTGCTCGGAGACGCCCTCATCATCGGCCGCGTCATTCTCGACCTCCGCCGCGTTCACGACCTCTGCTTCGATCTGCTGGGCCGCCGCGATCACGTTCTGAACTTCGTGCGTCTTCTTGTCCGCCACGTACTCGCTCTTCCAAAGGTTCGCGATCCGCTCGACCATCTGCTCCGGGTACGTCGCGGACTCGAGGAAGACCTTCGTCCGAGGGCATGGGTTCTCCAATTCTCGGTGTCCATGTCCTCCATCGCACAGCAAGTTCATCCTCTCGTGAAACATCTGGTCATTGTGGATGATAGTGTACTGCTTGCGAATGGGGATGCACCGGCCTGAACTCCTGGTGACCGAAGAGTGCCGGTGGCCTCCGTCGGGATCTCCAGGTAGACGCGGGCCTTGCCGGTGGCAGCGTCGAAGTAGGCCGTCGCGATCTCCACGAAGTGCTCGATCTGCCGCTTCGACTTCTGGCGCTTCTTTCGCAATGCGGCGTCATAGTCGGGGCTCCTCTGGTCCAGCAGGCTCGGCATGACACACGCCGGGGAGAACCAGATCTTCCAAGGAGGCTGCTCCCAACATTCTCGAAGCAGGCGGTTCACGTGCTCCCGCTTGTTCAGGTCATATCCTGTTCCCAGCGTCTTACTCTGCACATCCAAGCCACGATGCGCACAGGCGCTGCCAAAGTTGTGTTCAGTCCTGCATGATACCTCCCAGGCCGTGAGAGGTTGAAGGGCACCCAAAATGGCTGCCAAATCGAATTCTTCTGTGGACCTCAGCAGTCCTTCGGCCTTGCTTTCAGGCAGGGGCTCCTCATCTTCAATCCAACACACGTCTTCGCCGGGCTCCCCTGCCTCTGTCTGCCCCATCTCGGGGCCATGGCCACCATTGTGGCCTACTTCGGCTTCGGCTTGTCGGGGCTGCCCGCCCCATCCGGGTGCTCCACCTTCAGGTAGCCGTCGTCCGCGCCGTTCTCGTCGTCGATAATCGTCGTCTCCTCGCTGCCCCGGCCCTTGCGCTTGCGCCGCTCCTTCACCTTGTCGTCGTCCTGGTCCGTCGCGTTGTTCTGGGCCAGGTTCTTCGGAGTGGCCTTCGGCTTGCCGTGGATCAGCGACTTTTCTTTGGGTATAATTGCGACCATGTTCTTCACTTGCTTGGCCGTGAGGTCGTTCGGCGTGTATCCTTGGGTACGAAGTCGTTCGAGCGCCTCCACCACATTCTGCGGAAGATTGGTCTTCGTGAACTCCCCAGGCGAGTCCTTTGCCGGCGTGTAGCCTCGGCGAACTCCGCAAAGGCTGCACTCGCGCCATCTTCCGAAGCGGTTGGCTCCTGTTGTCACAACGTGATTCCCGAAGCATGGCCAGGCGGTCGTCTTGTTCCGGGGGTCTCTCTCGTCTGGACCTTGGGTTCGCGTAGTGTCGTACTCCGTGGTGACGCGGGAACCACGGCCCTTGCCCTTTGCCTTTGGCCGCTGGCGCTGCATCTCGTCCAAGATGGTCTGGCGCACTGTGTCGCGGATCTCCTCGGCAAGCTCCGGGGACATCACCTTGCTGGCGCTGGCCATGTTGGAAAGACGACGGTTCGGGGTTGTTGCTGGAGTCGCTGTTGCTCATTGAACTCGAGCCGAAGCGGACAAATCGAACTTCATCCTCTGAAAGGCCAAGAAATCGAGACTGCTGGGCACAACCATCTCTCCAATCAACCGCATGTCTGTTGCAACAACCATGCTCTGACACCAATGCAGCTTCACTCTCGCACTGCAACTCCAAGACATAGCCGTATTGCTTAGCAAGAGGCTGGGAAAACGTCACAGACTTGGGCGGCGCAACTGCTGTCTTTGGCTTGGCTTTTGGAACCCAACGGTACGTAGGCTTAGTCCATGCTGTAGTCCTGGTTGCGGTAGTAGATGTGGAGGCCCTAGAGGTTGTGGTCCCGGCTGCTGTTGGTGTGTGGCTTGCTGCTTGCTTGCTTAGGCCTGGCGCCTCATCCTGGAGAACGTGCTTGACTACGTCCATGACGAGGTGGCCCTTTGGGGTACTGCGGAGTTGCACCATTCTTCGGCCTATCAAACACCTGCCCGAAGAGCACCCTAGGAAAGCATCCATGGCCTTCAGCTCTCGCACGCCAGTCAGAACAGGTACACCTTCACTAGGCAAAGCGAACATGCCGAAAAACGTGGAACCACACACGACCTCAACCTTGTACAAAGCCCTTCCCCACTTCCCACTGCCATAACGGAAATACGGTCGCTCATGCTCTTGGACAATGATCCGTGCATCCGGTCTGGCTGCCACTACCGCCGCACACAGCCGCTCCACAGCTGCCTGTCCGCCAGCAGTCGCCGTCGCACCGGTGTCCACGAGGCCCTCCGAGGCAAGCAGCTCCTTCGAGTCCATCGTGGCCTCGCGCTCGGAAGTGGTGAAGAACTCAACGCCGTCCACATGAAAGGCACTTCCCCACGAGGGCGGTCCTTTGGATTTGCCCCCATGCTTGGAAAAATTGGACTTGTAGCCCTTCTTGCCGGTCGAGGCCACCCGGTTAGCTTCCTCGGCCAGCTTCACGCCCTTCGCCTTTGTTGCCCTTTCCAAAGGTTGCGCCTTTCGGCCTTCCTTTGCTCATGTAGGCCGATGTCGGCTTTGGCTGCCGCTGCTGGACGTTTCCATGCCATCCTCTGTCCTTCGCCGCCTGCGCGACCGCCCTGCGCGCCTCCGCCAAGTTGCGGTCGTTCTCGGCCAGGAGGTTCTCGAGCTCGCGCTTCTGCTCCTCGTAGTCCTAAGGCTGGCGTAGACTTCGTCGTTTGGTGGTTCATTGGGCTCGTCCTCTTCCGATGGCCATTCTGTCCATCCGGCTGCGCCATAACCTGGATCTTGGTAGTACATCCATTGGCTCGGGTCGCTCCACCATCCAGAGGCATCGCCATCCGCCGGGTCCGTGGCATACTGGTAGTTGACGTACGCCGCGTCCGTGTAGCCGGTGGGGTCGTCCTGCTCGTCATCGTCCATCTCGCCCCAGAAGGCGCGGTTTGCCCCAAAGGCACGGCTGCCCCCCTTCCCGCCTCGGTCCTCGTACATGGCCAGAAGTGCTTGCCTGACCTCTGTGTAGCCGAGGCGGTTCCTGGTCGTCGCCTTCACGATGCGGCGCTCTTCCTCGCTCGAAGTGCTCATCTCGAGCACCATCCAGCCACGAATCACATCCAGAGCACTGAGCGGCATAAGCCCCTTTTCCATGAGCCGCTGCAAGAGATCCTGCTCCTCGTCGGCGTCCTGGGCATCCGTGCCCTCTGGAGGGCCAAAGTACAGCGACTCTCCGTCCCCGATTCCACAGAAAGCTTTAAGCTCAGGGACACTCACGTCATACTCGTCGAAGGTGAGGTCCCGCTCGCGTAACAGTCGCTGAAGTGCTCGTAGCATATCGTCGTGCACCTTGTCCTCCCTAATCAGAAAGGCCGGAAGGGCTTCCGGCAAAGGTTGCCGATTCAAAGGGGACTCCTCCAGGTACTTGATCAGGCGAGTCACGCTCTCTTCCGTCCGGAAGTCGTCGGGGTCGAGCTTGTACATGAGCTGGACCATGGTGCTGTGAGTCGACTGAAGAGCTTTCCTGATCACCTTGGAGGCCAACAGCGCACGCTCATCCTTCTTTGTTGAACTCATCGCCCATTTTATCTCCGTGACAAAATGGCTGAAGGATTCTGGACGCCCGTCCCACACAGGAACAAAATGACGGTCGGTCTCCCATCCGAGACCGTTGGTTGCCGCTGCAGCCATCCCCGACCGACCGCGGCTCCGCGCTACCAATTCAGCTGCACATGAAAGAAAGCATGCTAAAGCGCCCGTCTTTTTGGCACAACAAGGGGCGCCCCTCGGATCCGAAATGTTGCGGTCATGTCCGACTATCAAAGGTGAACCGTCGATCAGCACACAAGTTGCACAAGCCACAGAATTGATTTTGCGATTCTCAATTTTGAGCGCACACCTCAAAGTCAGGAATGAACCCTAGAATTCATTTTGCGATTCAAAATTTTATGCAGGGGATGGGGCTTGTGCACGCATGCGGTTAAGCTTGATTTTAATGGGGACCTGAATTTCTGCTGCCGCAGAATTTATTTTGCAATTCTGAATTCTGAGGTTGCCTCAAGGTTACGTATGGGCCGCAGATTTGATTTTGCGATTCTAAATTGTGAGCGCACACCTCGAAGGCAGGAAGGAGTCCCAGAATGTGTTTTGCGATTCTAAATTTTACGCGCCTCCCGGGAATTGAGCCCGGACCTTGCCATGCAAGGCCCATGTTCTTACCACTGAGCTCCAGGAGCGTACGGGAACCGCCACCCCCTGGCCCCCCAGCCCCTGTTTTCTGATGGGGCATTAGAGGCGGGCCCCCAAGTCCCTCAAAATTTTAGAATCGCAAAATAAATTCTCTGAGCCATTCGCCGGGCTCTGTGCCCTCTGCAGGCCCAATTCTTTCAAAATAAATCCTCCCCCCCCCCACCCCGCCCCCCCAGCCTCCTGGACGGGCGAGGCGGACGCGGGGGTCTCTTGAGGCTGCCAAGGATCCTGCCCTCCTCTTCTTGCCTAGCTTAGTGGTCAGTATGTTTATCTTGCATGGGATTGTCCCGGGTTCAACTCCCACTGGGCAAACAAAACTTAGAAGCGCAAAATAAATTCTGGTGCTCACTCCTAATTTTGAGGCGCGCGCTCACAACTTAGAATCGCAAAAGAAATTCTGTGGCCCATACATAACCCTGAGGCAACCTCAGTATTTAGAATTGCAAAACAAATTCTGCAGCAGTAGAGAGGGCTTCCAAAGGGGAAGGGGCACGCGTGCGTGTAGGGTTGTTTTGATGGGAGCTGAGATACAGAATAAGAAATTCGAGGGTCTCGTATAGAGCTTGCCGTTTCTTATTGAACTGATTCCCCCAGACTGTGCTACAAGCTGGCAAGATGCCCAATTGTTCCGTGATCCGCAGCTTCACCCTTCAACTTTGAAGAATACACCTGCCTGACTCAAACCATGCCAGTCGTCGCCATCTGCGTGGCCCGGAGCCTTAACGAACTTCTTCACCTCCCGGCATAGCCATATTATGCTGGAGGCTTGCCATCCACGCAGTCAGGGGTCTCGCAACCCCTGCAGGTATTCTGTCTCATGATTTGAAAGGGATCAAATGATTAATTAAGGATCGAAAAATACCTTTCCCTTGAAAGTAGTCATAGACAGAGCTGCCTCAGGGAGTTTGTTCAGCTTTCAGCCGCTGCAGGTCTGGATCTCGCATCGCTTTTCCTCGCATGCAGCTGAACGATGCCCTCGCGATGCTCTCATCTCAATACATTGGATGTGTACCCAGATTACATGTGATCGATAACAAGGGATATGCGACGTGCACATATTGTATGGGGCGTTATTCCAGACCACAGCAGGCAGGATCCAGAGAGGATCGATAGGATGCAACTATATTAGTTCTCATTGTATTTTCCATTCCCTCTATATAATCCTAATATACTATTGTAGTTTCCATCTTCTTTTCCATCATCCCTATATAACCCACAAGACATACCTGATGACCCCAATATACTATATAGTAGTTTCCATTTTCTTGTCCATTCTCCCAAATTCTCTGGGCCGTGGAGCGCCGCACAGGCTCTAGGCCAGGCTCATATATAGAGATTATATTGGCATAATATTGGGATAATGGAAAATAAAATGGAAACTACTACAATGGGTTTTTAGGGTTTATATAAGAGTATATGGGTTATATAGGTATTACATTGGTTTCATAGGTTTGTTAATAACATCCATGACTCTGGTTAGCTCGCACGGCCTCTGCATTGGCCCGCGCAAGCAGCAGCGCCAGCGCCTCTGAAAAAGTGACCATCTTATACGCATGACCTGTTTCGGCAGTGGACATGTTTGACTGAGATCTCGACAAGTATGAGCGCTCTTGCACCAGGAAGCCTTAGTTTCACTCAACATCCCATATTTGAGCAGGGCTCTGGCATCCTGCTCCTTGGCCAGTCTGAATGTGGACCATTTTGCCCCAGACCACGGTCGAAAAAGGGAAGTTGGTCAGTGGTTACCCCACCTGCTTCTCTTAGCTACAGAGTTTAGACGGGCGTTCCAAACTTGCTGGCCCAGCCAGTCAAACTTAGGCTTGACAAGCACGTCAGCCTTCCAATCGATGCAGTTCAAACGGTCTGAATAGTCTGCTCTTTGCGAAATTTCATTCTTTTTATTTGAGGATTGTGCGCGCTCTTCTTGCTCCTCCTGGTCCTCCTCAACGTCTTCAGGATGCTCAGGAGGCGTCAAGCTGCACTCGATGGCTCAAAAGTCAATGCGGAAAGGCACTCTCGCGCTCTCGCAAGCTCTCGCGTGCTCTTGGGCTCTCTCGCTCTGCGTGAGCATGACTTGGACAGGCAATGCAACTGAGGTCTGCACATTTGCGGCGACAGCCTGTAGCTAAATGTAGCTGGTCAGCAAGTCTGTAGCTGTAGCCTGCTGCCAAGCCCAGCTCTGAGGCTGCTGCGAGCCCAATACCATGCAATGCCGAATCTTGAGACAACGTGGCAGAAGGTGGCAAGCGGAGCATGTGAATTGAAGCAGCAAGCTCGGCAAAATCGCGAACGAGTGCAGCGCAGATCCTTCCAGCTCTCGATCCTTCCAGCTCTCTTTTTCACGCTACCAGTGAAACGATGCCCAGCTTTTGCAGGGCAATAAAAGTTTCTGAGCATCTTGGCACCTTAGGATCTTGGCCCGGCTGGGAAAACTGAAGGCCGAGACCTAGCAGACCTAGCGCCAACCGGGCTCTGCTTCACTCCGACTTCTCCTCGGTCTTCCCTCCTTTGTCTTGCCCAAGGACCTGGTGTCACTAATATGGCCTGAGCCACACCCACCCTCACGCACCCACATCAGAGGCCTCGAAGATATGCTTCCAGTCTTGCGCAATCCCCTGCCATGGAGCAACAAATACCGTGATATGCCGTCATATGCCGCGATGCCAAAGGCCAGGTCAGGGAAAATCAAGGCCTGGAGCCAACCTTCCCATGTCCGGTCCGGCGGTGCCGGTGCCTACACTTTTGGGATGTGCCCTGCAACTCTTGTCTTACTGGACCCAAAGAGCCCTAAGCCCTTGCAAACTGGGCTGCAAGCGCGACGTCTCTTGATCAGATCATAAGCCTCTTCAAAACCGGTCTGCGGCACAAACTGCATTTGACCGCGTCTTTCCTACCAACCTTGGTGATCTCAGACATCTTGTCGTCGCACTCTTTGCCACACCTCGCCCCATCCCATGCAGGGCATTGTAAAAGGCAGAGAGAACAGAGTGGGCTAAATGAACATCACGTTGCGATTTGAAGGCTGGAGCTCAAGCTTCAACACATTCTGAGGTAAGTGCCCTGGGTTGCGATCTGGATGCCACTGCAAACTCTTACTTCGGTAAGCTGCTTTCGCCTCACACGACACGTCCAGGGAGTCTGCAGTGTATAGCAGACAGAACTGAGCAAATGTCAGACCAGCCTCTTGTAAGGAGGCTGATTGCGAAATCTCTAGAAGCTCATAAGGGTTGACCTGAAGCAACCACGATGCACATGAGAAGGTACTTCAAGCTCCTGCCTGTGTTTGCGCTGCAATGCGGTCAATGTCAACCACCTCTGCTACAATTGTGATCTGGAGCTTCATCAAAAAAACACTGGCAAATACTGGCAGCCTGGAAGTGGTGCAAAATGGTGGGGATGTACACCTCAAGCAAGCTTGAGTGTCAAGTGATGCAGGAAAACAACCATGAAAACTAAGTAGAAGGCTATTGTAGTGAGCCCCAGCATCAACATGCCCACAAAACACCTAAGCGCGATGCCCCTAGTCAGCCTTGCCAAGAACAAACACGTTTCGGTAGCTAGAGGGAGATTAGCAAGGCCCAGATGCAAAGGCAAATGGCACAGAAGTTTCCTTCGGCTGCCATCGTAAGGGGCATCTGGAGAGCACCGCCTTGCATGGCGCTTATTCTTGCAATGCCCTTTCCTAGTCTTGCGACAGGTCATGTTGTATGGTGCAAGGCATGCGACCACAAAATGACGAGCATGTTGCAGGCAGTGCTTTGCATTGGCCATCTCAGCTTCTGGCTGGCTGTTAAAGCCACGAACGTAGCAGCGCATTAGAAAGCCGTCTACGACCCAACCTCATTGCAAGCTCTAGTAGCTCTAGACTCTAGACCATGTGGCCAACTCCTCCATGTTCAAGAACGGTCCATGTTCAAGAAAAGTGTACCAGAGACTTCGACCAACTCCCAAAAAGTTCAGGGTCCAAAAGGCAATCAACCTCAAAACAAGCAGGCAAGGATGCAAAGGGCTCTGACATCCTGAATCTAACAAATCCAACTCTGACATGACTGAGGCCTAAGCGCATGTGCCAGTCGGTCCAGGTACAAGTGATGCGCCGGAAACACAGGATTCAGCCACAGCAGGTAACTGCACCATCAAGCCATCAAAGCTGTAGAGTGACCAAGATGCACAAGCAGGCAAGCAACAGGTACAACTTCGGTCTGACTCTTGAATTGCATTTCCGCGCTCTTACACAGACCATTACAGTGACTGACGCGGCACGGATGTCCTCGTGAACAGCCGCTTTTGCTGCTGCAAGGAGTTAGCCGCTGCCTCCACCATGAACAATGCAACGATCAAACAGAAAACTGGTAAGGTGTACATTGTACAGATACTGCTGCGGACTGCTTGCAACAAATTGTCTGCCGCGTGGACGTCCACATGACAACGCGACAACGAAGAAAGTCATTCTGCATTCAGCATGGACACATGATTTAAAATGTGCCTCAACTCGCTGCTGCTGTTGCTGCTCCCCGACAGGTATGGCCGCAGCAGGCTTGGAGCAACAACCTGTGTGCACCAGCAATGTGGCATGGAAAAAACAAAGCCGGCGCCCATGCCTGAAAATAGTTTACGTATCAACCTCTTTGAAATATCACAATGGCTGAAATCTGTGGTCTGAGGGACAGACATAATCGACAAATGACAATAATGCTCACAACATGTATAATTCCGACCTCGACGCCACATGCAACAACGTGCTTTCGTTATCTGACAGCACAATGAAGAAACGAAACAGATCGTATCTGAGGATGGCACCAACACTTGTTGTATGTCCCAATCCTCATCAAGACCCAAATCCTGCAAATCGATTGCATAAGCTTCCGCAACAAGCAACGCATTTTTTGAACTGTTGGGGTTGACATAAACAGCACCTGGAAGATGTCTTCCGTCAGATCATCCATCTCATTGTGGTGGAATGTCTAGTTTCTTCGCGTGTCGGTGTTGGGTGATAACGTTGGTAGCTTGTGGATTTTACTCTGTGTTCACAATGTCCACCATGGCAATGTTGGATACACCGGGTGGCATTAAGCAAACATGTACTGGAGGATGTTTTTTGAATGTATTTCCACTTACGCGCTGCATGGAGCCATACGTCTCAATCCGTCATAAAATCAACGTGTCAAAATTGCTAAAATTGGCCATGGCAATACACGTACCTTGTAGGAAAAATCTAGTTGATGTACGTAATACGACAAGGCCACACTGTGAACTAGCTGCAACTCTCTTTCCTTCGTGCTGTCGGACTGTCGGTCACCTGATGCCGATGCATCCGCATCAGGTCTATGGAACTCCACCGGCATCGACCCAAACCACGCTGCAAAAATAATTGCTTTCCAGGGCAAGAATGCACGCATGCCCATCGGATGTCACAAACATGCCGCAAAATCACAACACAAACAAAACCAGACCCTGATCATCCTGAAAGCAATCAGTTCGACGTTAGCAAGGGACGCGTATCTGGCCATGTTCTAGGTGCTGGGTGCGGTGTAGGTGCTGTGATGGTTCCGAGGCAACTATCATGGTTGCTGTGAGCATCCGGGCCTGCGGTGGGGCGTTGACGCTGCCCTTTCAAAGTAATTATACGCTCTAGGATCCCAAGTGTGAAATCCAGGTGTTGCCTCTGGAGAAAAGATCATGCCCAAGCAGCCCCCCAGTTTGCTCTAGCACCGTGAAGAAAACTTGGAAGGGACCCAAAACGATCTTCTCACAACCCTCGCCAAAGCTCTCACTGCCGTAATCCAAACTCTGCGTCTTCTCGTGCCCCCGGGATGTATGGAAAAGTCATTTACGGTACTACATGCATATCACAAAGCCGCGCAGTGCTGAGGAATCTTGGGAAGTGCATGTCAGACTTCAAATCATGAATACATCATCATACACCACTGGATCTGACACAACTTCCGATCGGAATTCATAAAGCCAATATGTTCGCCACAAGGTCTCTCATAATTCTCGCGTTGGCCGACTTCGCCGGATACTTACGTAACTGCTTAATGGGCTGTAAGATAGTAGGGAACTCCATGATTCCATGATCCTGCACAAAACGAGGGCCCCTGCATGCTTCATCTTTTTTTTTTTCGAAACACAATTCCGAGTCAAAGGTCCTGACCAAGGTCCTGTCTGGATGCGTGCAGCTCTAGCTGAGCTGGCGCAAGCTTCACTAGCTGCTGCGTGGAAAGTGGGAAGCGGAGCTGTTCCTCCTGAGCTTCCTCAGCGACAATGCGCCGTCTGTCGGCTTCGGGAAGCTGACAGCTGACTAAATAGACAACATGGGCTGGAGATGGCTGAGGTTTGGTTTAGATGTTTGCAAGGGCCCCGTGCAGGCTGCGTTCCAACGCTGCCAGCGCTGTATCAGCTGTGAGGTAAGGACAGAACGAACAGCTGGCAGGTGACACTGCATGAGAGATTGTGGCCAAACTGGCCCCTAGCTTCACTTCAGTCTGACTGCAAACGCGGCCGGAGCCACATCCGGGCAGCTACCGAATCAGATGAAGGCAACGACGCCTGTGCTGGCTTCTGTACGGGGGGCCATGGAAGACCTTGAGAGACATAACGGCAGAACACCGACATGCCGGGGGTACGACACGCAAGCGCTGTTGGGAAGCGGCGCTCTGGCAAGTTGAAAGGCTGGGTGCGCAAACTTGGCATCAGACAGATCAGAAGCGCTGCTGCGTGTTGTGATCTTTCAGCTGGCTCTTCCAACTTCGAAGAGAAGATAGCACGAGACTTGAACCCAAACAGATAACTTGAGAGACGTTCTCGGCATGCCCACGGCTGCTGATAAATTGTACATCGTAAAGTACCTCCAGCCCGCAGAGATTAGATGAAATTCTGCGACCCTGCATCTGGAACATGACACGCCTGACGCTGCTCTCACACGCAGCTGCACGCTTTCTCTTCTGCGGTCCTACGAATTTGGCTGTTAGGGGCCACACGCTTGAAGGCAGACCGGAGCTGCTGCGAATCATACCTATGCTGCACATAGAACCATATCAGTGCTTAACAACAGCTGGTAAAGAGAGAAGATCGTTGCAATGATAGAGAACGGCTGCCGGCTACCAGCGTCGTCTGAGCATATGGATAATGGCTACTGATAAATGGAACATTGTGTCAGCCACTGTCTCCGCCATATTTTATTCCGCATGTTACCAGACTTGGCAGATCCGTCTTTCTCCGAAGAGCCCAGTACCTAGATTAGCGCGTGACAGTTCTAAAAAGGTGGGGCATTGCATTCAGCGATTTTAAAGAGACAACTCTGTTAGATAAGAGATTACATGCTTCAAGTCTTCAAGTGCTAGCATGCTGGTTTGCATGCCGGAAATGACCTGTACAGGCTGTTAATATTACTTATTCCCAAACATGAAAATCCACGCAGTTTGAATCACCTACATGGTTCACAATGTATCATATTCAAGCACAAATATTCTCAGACAGAAGATGAACATTGACACGCATTGCACAGGCACTCGAACAAGCTGTTTTTCTCTCAAAAGAGGCAAAGAGGTGAACTACGGTCTTGCGAGACATGCATGCAGTGTCACCGCGATCGGTGGACACACGCATTGCTTCCACCAGCAGATCAGCCCTCCGAATATAAGGTTGCATGCCTGGTATACACTCTGAGCGTGGCTCTGGACATAGATTTGCTGAACGGAGCATAGCCATCCACCTTTTACGTACAGGATTTAGCACACAGGATTTAGGAACAGGTTAGAACGGGATTTACAGAGCGAACAGGGGTCAGGAACAGACGTAACTCTAGTTTTCGTTCGCCGGATAATTTTGAAGGTGTGCATCGAACAAATTTAACAGGTTGACGCACAAAACAAGAACAAAATCTGAAATCAATGTGTTAATATCAGAGAGCGGCCGACCAGCAGAAACGCCTCCAGACGCAAACCATTCGTCTCCGCTGGCAGTGAGAGATCTCTAATCCTTCAAGATGTTGCTCGATTGTAACAAGCTACTGGTTGGCACGTGGGCAGCGCCTCCATTGCCTGAGCCGCCGAGACTGATAACATGCTGTCAGTACTGTGTGACGAGGGCGAACAGTACGTCTAGAAGAACCTGGCATGGAACCGCTTTCTTTTGCTACTGGCAGCTAGCAGCAGACTCTTGTTACTAGGACGGAGTCTGCACGCTGCAAAATGCGAAAAAGAATGCGTGTCCAGCCAAATTTCCTCCAAATCACGAAGCTTACGATGGACTGTCTGGTTGATGAAGGCTGAAGCGTGCGCAACTCATAGTGCTTGCCATACTAGACACAGTATATGCCATTATCTAACAGCCATCTACATCCCTCTACCCTTAATATAAGAGATCCCAACATTTCATCATGCATCAGCTATCTCCACGCCCCCTCCCTCCAAGCGAACATATGGACTTCTCTCCAGAGCCATAAAGGTGGATGGGTGTTGAGAAGTCCATATTCGCTTACTGGAGCGTTTCTTCACATGCATTTTTCTGAGAAATGCTTCATTTGTGTAAGCGTGCTTTCTCCGATCCACTCTGGAAAGTAATAATGCCAGAAAGAAGTGCAGAAACTCCAGTTGTTCAAAAGACAACTCTTCATTAAATGAGCTGGCAGGTGATCAGGGGGCGGAGGGTTCCACCGCCACCTTGCACTTGCCACGCAAGACCCTTCCGGACCATGACATGTCGTCCGGGCCATATGTCCAGGCTGCCCGGCTGCATGTCCCACATATTCAGGCTGTCCGAACCACGTGTTCGAGCCGTTCGGGCCGCATGTCCGAGCCACATGTCGGAGCCAAAATGACCCTTTTTTTTGGAGGACCCAAAGGTCTTCGCTTCAAACCGCTTCCCTCGAACCAGCAGAGTCCGAGGGATCTGCATGGAAGGCACCCTTGCCTGGAAAGAAGTGCCGGAAGCATTTATATTGTCTTTTTGGAAGTCCGAGGTAGTCGTGCGGACTAGCCAGGCTGGGTGCTGTGTAGCAAGTGCAGAAGTTCCTTCGTTTGTTTTAAGGGGTGGAAGGTTTGGCAGGAGCATTCATATTGTCGTTTGGGAGTCCGGAGGTAGTCGTCCGGGCAGGAGTTCTGGCTGTCCGGGCTGTCCGGGGCTGTCTAGGCTGGGTGTTGTGTGGCAAGTGCAGTCCCTTTTGTTTCTTGGAGGTGGGCAGCAATGAATTGCTTATCTTTGGAGGCAGATTTTTAAATTCTCTTTCTGATTAATGTTAATTCAGAAGCAGGTAGATCCGTAACAGACTGGAAGGAGAAGATAAGTAAAAAAAAGATTTAGAGATCCACGGTTTTTTAGCTGAGACGGAAGAGAAGAGATGAGGTGACGATGCTTTAGGAGAAGCTCGCGGAAAAGTCTGACTGTTCTTGGAGTTTTGGAATTCCAAATATCGGAATTGTGACCAATTACGGGGCGGGGAGAATCTACCTAGGCTGCCATGGGTTGAAATACCTCGTTCGGCTAACGAGTCTGTGAATTCGTAAAATACTGAAGAGCTAGTTCTACAAGCTGATGGTGGGTCGATGGAA